ATGATTTCTGACTGTTAACATGGGTTCCAGACAGGGGTGGACTGACCATTTGGAAACGTGGGCACTGCCCGAGGGCCCGGGGTCAGTAGGGGGCCCCATGAGATGCCCCTGGTAGCTTTTTCATAGGCTTTTTTGAGTTTGGGCAAGGACACAGGGGCCCCATGATCCCCTATTGCCCGGGGGCCCCATGAGTTGTCAGTCTGCCCCTGGTTCCAGAAATAGATGAGAAATCCTGCAGAAGGTTAAATACATTAGGAATTAATAAAATAGGTTTGTTAGTGAAAAGACTGCATAATGCAAAATTCATGATAGTAACCCACTACTTCAAGGCTAGTAATATCAAGAGATTGTTAAGCACGTGCCCCAAGGGTTTATTTGATAAAATCTGCCCTTTTTGTGGTAACAAGCTTTCTGAGGAAACACTTATGTTTATCATAATCATATTTAAATGTACAGTAGTTGCCTGACTCACTATCTTTGTTAAAAGGCAAAGCATCCATTTAGGTGCAAAGCCAGTAAATGCATATATTGTATAAAACAAAAAAAGGTAACCAAAGTGTACACAAAAAACTTCCGGTCACCTGCAATATTTAAAAAAAAAAAATTTCTGTGCATTTTTTACTCCTTTATTATTCCAACTGTAAATAATTGGGTTTAAAGCTGGACACATAATATGAAAAAATAAAGATAAATATTTTCCTTCATGTATAGAGTATTCAGTTAAGGGTCCAAAGTACATAATAATGACTGTTCCGTAGCTAATAGCCACTACAATGATGTGGGATGTACATGAAGAAAAAGCTTTGGACCTTCCTGTAGAGTGAAGCTTCAATTTGCTGGAGATAATACATATATAGGATACTATAATAAACACTAAGGGAAGAAACAAAGCAAAAAAACATCAGGAACATGACACTTTTGCTGAAATCAATACTACCATAGGCTAGTTGTATGATGGCTAGAACTTCACACATGAAATGATTGACCTGGTTTGGTTTACATAGGATCACTGGCACAGCAAGAGGTGGAAATATAAAGACTATGAAACTCATCATCCATGCAACGGCAGTCAGCTGGTAACATACAGTCCATCTCATCAGAATTGGATAAGGCAAAAGGTGGCAAATGGCAGCATATCATTCATAAGCCATGAGAGAAAGAAGAAAAGACTGTACCAGACAAAAGAAGTATGATGAAGCATTGCAGGGTACAAGCACAAACTGAAATTGTTCTTCGAAAGGTAATGAGGTCAGAAAGTATCCAGAGCATGACAGATGATGAAATACACAAGTCGAGAATGGCTAAAATGCAGAGGAAGAAGTACATCAGAATGTGTGATTGTGGGCTGATGAGGACTACACAGAACATAACATTCTCTGTAAGGGTTGTAAGATAGATCCCTAGGAAAAGTGCAAAGAGTGTTACCTTTATCTTCAGATATGTTGAAAGCCCCTGCAAAAATAGTTTTGTAGTCAGTTTCTTGTTCTTGAAGTCCATGTAATAGGACCCCTCAAAATATTATCTTTCCTGCCATATTGGAGAGTTAAAAAAATGAATATGTAAGGAGCAATAAACAAAGTTACAAACATCACATTTAAGCCACATGCCTCTAAGAGTCTAAAATTTTAATTTAAAATGCCTATACTTTAAATCTAGATAGAATTTATAGCCAGTAGTGTGAGACCATTTGACCATCACACTCATAAGTTTGTTAGACATCCCAATCCTGAACAGGGAATGTTAATATAGAGTCATCCTCCCTATGTGGCTATGATGGCCTCCACACTTATGGGAAACTTTTCCACAAGCTTTTGCGATGTGTCTGTAGGAATTGGTTCCCATTCAGCAATAAGAGCATTTGTGAGGTCAGGTACTAATCTTAAATAATTTAACCTGGCTCTAAGGCGTAGTTCCATTCTTTCTAAAAGGTGTAAATAGGACTGAGGCCAGAACCCTATGCAGGCCCTAGACTTCCTTAAATGCTAAAATAAACAATGTCTTCATGCAAATGGCTTTGTACACAGGGACACAGTCATTACCCAAACTGTTACCACATGATTGGAAGCAATGCTTACCCCTAAGTCAGGTGGTCAAGCACTATAGGTGGCTTCTATGTTCTTCACCTATAACAGCCCCATTTCCCATGAGGCAAGCAGGTCTACAGGTACTCAGTTGCCCCCATGTCTTATACACAATGCTATAGTGCCTGGCTACCACGCCAGAGCAGAAGTGAACTGAACACAGCAAATAGTTACTTACAGTTGCCAAACAGGCAGAGTAGTTCAGTGAAAGTCCAGGTACAAGGCAGGCAAAGTTCAGAATAGTTGGGTCAAATCCATAGTCAAAGAGGCAGGCAGAGTTCTGAGCGTAGTTGATATCTGACTCGAGATTGTCAATGAGAAAATACAAACTGCAGATCAGGGCAGACAAACAGGGAGCTTGGGTACATGTCACAAAGTCTATCACAAGCATTGGACTGCAGGCTTGGCTGGCTTAAATCAGGTTTGGTCTGGCTACATAAATCACCTTGCAGTTGAACAAGCAGACAGGGAGAATGGATCATAGCCAAAACCAGGATGCTGCAATGAGACCAGCAACTGTGATGGAGCAAGAAACATTACAATTGTCTAAAACATTTTGCATGCTGTACAAATAACAGTACCCTTCACTGGAAATACTTGACCTCAATAATTGTAAGGAAGTTCACATACAACTGAACAATTAGTGTATGTAGAATCCTTTAATTGTTTTTAATCTTTATGATCTACCTTCTATTTATATTATCTATTGGAATATGCAAGAATGAACTCCAGCCCATGAAAAACGTGAGTGAAATGAAATGATCACTGTGTCCACTGAGGGTGAGACATGGAAATGTTTTAGATGTTCTACAACTGAGGTTGCTCTTTGCTCACAAGTTGCATAATTATTGCTGTAAAGGAAGTGTATTATTGTGAGTCTTATTGACCCCTGTCCACCTACACCCAAAAAAGGAAATGCAATTCCAGGTTTTTAAAAAAGGAGGCTGAAAAACATTTTGGAGAACAACTTTAAGGCAGTTTTTTGAAAATCTTATATTGTCCATCATCTGCTGGGCAGTTTTAAGCACTGTGGCGTGGCACACATGCATGCCTGGATCCAATCAGCATAGCCTATATCTGGATCAGGGCACCTACAGAGTACAACAAAAAAGGTGTCCTTGTGGTGACTAACCTGCTATTGAGTATTTCGATCTGGTTTTCTGTTTACAATACAGCTTGTACTTGGCATCAGTATCTGTTCTATTCTAGTTCTATCTAGCTCATACCTGGAGCCTTGCTACTTCCAGTTGCCTATTTGTATTACTTGGACTGCTTTTGGTTTCTGTTTTCTGGTTTCACTGGCCTTCTGCTTTATCTTCCACTGTGCTTTATTCTGCCAGCTCGGACCACCAGCCTGTTCTGAGATCTTCTCTGCTTTATTGTTTGATACTGTGTTCTTGTCTTGCCCTACTATCATCTGTCATTATCCAAGAAATCCTGAGGGTCACACTCAAGTACTTTCCACAGTGCATCATCTGTACAATCAGAAGCCATGGAGTAGATCACACACTATTAGAGCCTGAATCTTAGATGATGTTCGGGAATAAAAAAAACATCTGTACTCACCAAGGTGGAATGCAGCATAGGTCCAGCTCTAATATTAAGATCTGGACAATCAAAGATCGCTCAGTTCTCAGTCTTTGCTGAGCAGAGAGCCAGTGACAATTAATCACTCACTGCTCTGCCCCTCCAGGGCTCCCTGGAGCGCCAGGCTTTGGAGAGGGCCTGAGCACCTGCCTTAAGCTCTCAGCGGCATGCTGAGAGGCTGAGCCAGTTACCAGTCCAGGTATCTGGGTGGATCCTGGCATTAAAGTTGGGATCTCTCCAGAGTCTAGACCGGCTCTGTGACGTCAGCTGACAGAACGCTTTAGCCCACTGTAATTTTTAGCAAAACAAAGTGCACTCCTTAGGAGAGGTAGGGCAAAAAGATATTTGGTCCTAATTCACCTTTAATTTCAAAGGTCACTATTGACCACCTTCTGAAATATCTGAAGACTTACAAAGCTGGGGCCTGGGAAGCTCCACAGACCTGTGACAGGTATCATCAGAAAGGAGATCAGTGGAGAGAGAGAAGGCTGGACCCAGGGCTGGAAGGACATCTTCAGAGAGGACAACTAGCAGGTAGTTGATACCTGTCACAAGTTTCTCCCTCCTTTTCATCCTCATGTACTTTTCTGCAACCAGTGGAACTACTGTGCTTTTGGCAATGGCACCTTCTCTGCTCTCTCTGTTCTGAGCTCAAACTCTTTGCTGTTTCTAATGGATCACTTTTCTATTTCCATCTTCAGCACATTTATTTAGTGACTTTACACTGGGCTCATGTCTGTTTTTGGATTTGTCTCTTAATCTGCATTTCCTGTGCTGCAGGCTATTCTGCAGTATCACCCTTGTACTTTTTCCTATACACATAACATATTCATCATGTTTTCCTTTTCCAGCCCTTACTCAGCTTTGGTGGTAATCTTGCCTAGCATAGGGTTGCCACCTTTTCTTCAAGCCAAACCTGAACACTTTAGCAGCACGCATCTTTTGTTTTGTAGTATACAAAATAAATGGAAATAAATAGTGCAAATAGATGTAACACCTGTATAACCTTTTTAAAAATTGTGTAGTTACCATACATTTTGCCGCTGGTGAATCAGCCCAAAAGCAAGTTGTGTGGTTGTGCCATTAATGGCAACATTGAACACCTGCAAAAGGGTTGTGTGTTTTTGTGCATTGCCAGAATGCACTTAATTTTGCACAAATTCCTGCAATACACAAATGTCTACCTAGGGAAGGGGTAATGAATTAAAATTCAAGAGGTCTGGTTGCTAAACTTTTCTTGCAGCTGAGGTCCGAATTGCTCTCTAATAAAACATAAAAGTAGCCCAATCACATCCATATTTAAAAAAAGAAAGAAAGAAATAAAACCACCTTACATAAGGCTGTCCCGTCAGAGTGCTCCCTTAGATTAGTTGCCCCATCAGATTACCCCTTACATCTGGTGTCCACATCAGAATATCTCCTTAGATCAGTTGCCCCCATCAGCGTTTCCCCTTATATCAGGTGTCCATTTCAGAGTATTCCCTTTAAATCAGTTGCCCAAATCAGAGTGTCCCCTTATATCAAGTGCCCCCATCAGAGTGAACCCTTACATCAGGTGTCCCTATCAGAGTACTCCCTCTGATCAGTTGTCCCCATCACAGTGCCCCTTTAAATCTGGTGTCCACATCAGTCACCCCAAGCAACTTTATTTTCCAAATGTCTAGACAATACCCCTTTATGAAACAGGTCTCCTTCAGTGAGATAATATACTAGATGTTAATGTGACCCTGTCAGTACATGCTTGAATGTAAAAAAAAGGCAAGCTGTCAAAGAATAATCTAAATACTTACTTTTTGGGCCATTGAGTTGTGAAACTCCACAACATTGTTCTCAGCTGCAGGTGTCTGACACTTTGGGAGTATCCAGTACCAGTATCCCTGCTGAATGCTGTAGTATCCTCCTGACTGCCAACTGGTTGAGCTAGTTGAAGGAATGACTGTGCTGGTGGAACGGTAAGTACATAGCATCTTCTTTTACAGAATGTCATTCCTTACTTTAAACCCTGTAGTGACAGGATCATTTTATGTAAAGGAAAAGCGTGGCTAGAATAGGAAAAGGTAAGGACAACTGTCAGGTTTTTATTGCTGAATATCCAGCATTGTACCTTTGAATGCCTTTAGGAGAATGCACTGCCAACAATAATACCGTGGAATGCCAAACACAAATTTTTGTGTTTAGGTTTTTAATGCACTATATTACATTTACTACTTTGCAGACCTGTTAGTATTTGTTGCCAGTGGGTAAGGTGTATGGACATCAGTGCTGGATTTAGACCTTGGGGGGCACAGGGCATTTCAAGTTCAGGGGGCCCTGGACATAGAAATTAAATTATATGATAAATATAAAAAAGTGAACTGAAATAAATTATATACCATATTTGTTCTAAAAAATATAAGTTAGGTTCCAGAGAAGATACTTGGCTGAATTGTTTTCCAATTTTTTTTGACTGTAAGAATACACCCTACACAAGTAATTGGAACTGGCAAGTCATACATCACAGTTATGCTGCACACTACAATATTTACAAAAAGTCTTTTTTTCTGCACTTAACATCTGCAAAATTTTTGATTAACTAAGCAAACTGTATAATTTTGAGGACACTGCTCTCGACAGCCATTATGTACAGAACATTTAGACATTCACAGGCATACAGGTGGTGGCGTGTATGGATCCACAGGCTGAAAGGTTCAGGAAATGGAAAATCACTTGTGGGAAGTTTGGTCAAAGGATTCCGGGACACAGAAAAAAACCCATTGGTTAGGAGTCGATTTCACTACTACACTATGCAAGATACGTAAGGAAGGAAGGTCCTCTACTCTCTACTTCTTC